AGCAATGAGAAATATGTTCAGTTAGGAGCAAGGCAAAATTTCCACCCCCAGGCCACACTCAATCATCATGCAATGTTAGACATGGCACACTCAGGCATTTGGGGGTAAGAGGTTCACGGCCCAAACCTTTTGGTTGCTGCAACGCTGGGTCACTACACTTTTTTTGATCCACCTTTGTTTTGAGTGAAACAGAGGGTCAAGTTCTATTTCTTCTGTAGAATGAAAAAATTTATACATTAAAGTATTAGTGCTGGTGGGATTATTTGTGCTAGGAAACTAGAAGTCCAAAGTTGAACCTCTTCTTTTGGGTGGTAAGAAGTTGTGTGGAATGTTTTAGTTGGAAAGAATACCACATAATCCCAGGTTACTAACATCAAACACAAGAAAGGATCTATATTTCAACAACTCAATTTTTTTCCTGATATCTTCATTTTCAATATTTTTTGGAAATTTGCATTTTTTTTCTTCAAACTAGTCCTATGAAGGAGCCAAATCCTCTCTATAAAATCCCACAGATATGTGCATAATAGAGGACCCACACAGCCCCTGAACTAGGTGAGTAGCCTCATTTTATGTATTTTTGGGAAAGCCCCTGAAATCATATGCACTAAAGTGGTATGAATCAGTTTGTGCACCAGAAATGGTATGCACAAAACAAGTTTAAAATCAATGGATTTGGCTCAATCTTGAGCATAGCCCCCCCTGAATAAATCACCATCCCCATGTTTTTTGTGGCAATTTTCATTCAAGCACACACACAAAAATGTACAACTGGTCCTAAACATGGCATTCCCCTGTGGCCCCCAATGTTGTATGAATAATTTGAAAAATCCAGGATTTTTGGTTACCCACACATATAGGGGGTTCCCTGGGTCCTGAATTCTGATGATAGATATAATCAGTTGGAGCTAGATAGAGCTCATGTTTGACACTGTTATGTTGTTTAAATGATGAAGGTAAATCAGTACAGAATGTAGCAATCCGTATACAGTGGCTGGAAGAAGGCAAGGAGGCCTGGCATTGCTATCAGTTTTTTCCAGCCAAATCGATACAGTGACAAGCACCCTATTTCCCCAATAACTAACATTGGTGTCCATTATTCAAAATGATCATCATACAAGATAGGTGCCAAGGTTCTAAAACACAATTGAAATATTTCTGTTGTTAAGCCCCGTTCTGAGCTCATTTCAAACAAAGTCTCCAATTCAATGCCCGTCATCAGCTTGTAACCCCGCCTGGCGGAAAAGCTCTTCTATGTAACCTGAAATATTCCAATTTTAGCGAGCAGATCTGAAATGATTTTGCAGCGGGCATGTCGATTTTCGCTTGGGGGTTGATGATCGCAGCCTGCCTGGAGCTGTTCTCTTTGCAAATTATAAATGTGTAAAGATCTGGATAGTCAAACACAATGTACTTCCGAGAAGAGATGACAGATTCGCCGATTGTCAAGTGTCCTTTGTTTGCAACTCGCACCTTGTGTGAGTCAGTTTTGCGAGTCCGGTCGAATTCGAAATTATCAGCAGAATGCGTGATTGATGTGAATGGCGCTTGGCGGTCATGGTCCGGGCGCCTGATCTGGTGTGAGTGATCACAACCGTATGAACAATTGATGATTTCTGTACAAGGGTGATCATGACAATTTGGTGAAGAATTTTGCTCGAGCGTGTGGCTGAGCTGTAGAGGACTGTAGATCGGGGCTCTGAAGATCGGCTGAGATGGTGATCAGCAATCGGAGGACTCGATGGACAAAATATTGAAGCGTGATGACGGAAGACGAATGGAATTGAGAGTGCTGACCCGGCTTGCCAATTAGGAACAACGAAACGAAGACTTTGCCCCTTTTTTTTCTGCAGTTGA